CTGCGTTTCCCAGCATGGCGGGCGGCGGCGGCGCCAAGGCCGAGTTCTTGGTCGGGGGCCAGTATAAACTGGTCCGGAAGATCGGGTCCGGCTCCTTCGGGGACATTTATCTGGCCATCAACGTCACCAACGGCGAGGAAGTGGCAGTGAAGCGAGAGGCGCAGAAGGCCAGGCACCCCCAGTTGCTGTACGAGAGCAAACTGTATAAGATTCTCCAGGGCGGGGTGGGCATCCCGCACGTCCGTTGGTACGGTCAGGAGAAAGACTACAATGTCCTCGTCATGGACCTTCTCGGCCCCAGCCTCGAAGACCTCTTCAACTTTTGTTCCCGCAGGTTCACGATGAAAACGGTACTGATGTTAGCGGACCAGATGATCAGTAGAATTGAATATGTGCACACCAAGAACTTTATACACCGAGACATTAAACCAGATAACTTCCTCATGGGTCTTGGGCGTCACTGTAATCAGTATTTAGAACCTCCCGTGGCGAAGAGGAAAAGATACGTGACTGTTAATACCTCTCAGGACCTATGCTTCTCAAGATTAAACCAGCTATTCCTTATTGATTTTGGTTTGGCCAAAAAGTACAGAGACAACAGGACACGGCAACACATACCTTACAGAGAGGATAAGAATCTCACCGGCACTGCCCGGTACGCGAGCATCAATGCACACCTTGGTATTGAGCAGAGTCGCCGAGACGACATGGAATCCTTAGGATACGTTCTGATGTATTTTAATAGAGCCAGTCTGCCATGGCAAGGACTAAAGGCTGCGACAAAGAAACAAAAACACGAAAAGATCAGTGAGAAGAAGAGGTCCACTCCTGCTGATGTTTTGTGTAAAGGGTTTCCTGCTGAATTTGCCACGTACTTAAACTATTGTCGTGGGCTGCGCTTTGAGGAAGCCCCGGATTACATGTATCTGAGGCAGCTATTCCGCTTTCTTTTCAGGACCCTGAACCACCAATACGACTACATGTTTGACTGGACTATGTTAAAGCAGACCGCGAAGCCGCAGGCAGCCTCTTCGAGTGCGCAGGGCCAGCAGGTCCAACCCCCCACAGGCTTCTAAGCATGAATTGAAGAAACAAGCCGAGCAGATGATCGGAGCAGCATTTGCTTCTCCCCAGATCTAGACATTTTAGTTCATCTGTACACTAGCCAGTGGTGGTGGACAACCATTTACTTGGTGTTAAGGACTTAATTTCAGTATAAACTCGCTCTGGGCAGCGCTGGTGATGCCGTGTCTGGAGTTGTAGCTGCTGTAATTGCGACTATTAACTGAGATAGTGAAACATGGTGTCCAGTTCATCTGTACACTAGCCAGTGGTGGTGGACAACCATTTACTTGGTGTTAAGGACTTAATTTCAGTATAAACTCGCTCTGGGCAGCGCTGGTGATGCGGTGTCTGGAGTTGTAGCTGCTGTAATTGCGACTATTAACTGAGATAGTGAAACATGGTGTCCAGTTTTCTGGTGCACTTGAAAAAGTGAACTAAATGGTTGACACACAAAGTAGTGGAGAAATTGTGTATATGCCAACTTTTTTTTCTTAAAGCCTTTTATTTTGAACCACACTGCTTTGAGATGTCAGAAGACAGCACATACCATCCGAAGCCCCAGCAGGTTGGTTGCGATGCTGACCATTGCGCCTTCCTAGGGACGTTCCCTCCCTGGGGTTTGCAAGCTGTTGCCAGAAAACATCCTCAAAATGGTTGGCTTCTTGTCTGCAAGCCAGCTGATAAGATAGCAACCAGAGATTCCAGTGTTTGGGCATGTGAAAGACTGCTTACCTGTGCTAGAATAACAGCATCTACAGTGAAGACTTAACAAAACCGTAGTGCCTACTAGACTATCTGCATTAACTCTATAATGCTCTTGCTATTAAAGAAAAAAAAAAGTCACAGAAAATTAGTTACCATATTACAACTGAACATGTATATATGTTGCTTAGATAAATGTAATCACTGTAAACATCTATGTGATCTGGGATTTCGTTTTTATTTTGAAATGGGGGCTTTTTGGTTTGCAAGTTCATTAAAAACTAAACATTTTAAAAATGCTATTTTCAATTGCCTCATACGCATGTGAAACTTGAGTGTGTAAAAAGGAAGACCGCAGAAAAATCGATGCATTTGAACCATGGCATTGTGGGAGAGTATTGAAAATACCATGAACTACAACAGAATAAACAGATGTCTTGGAAGAAGTACAGTCAGAATTCTTAGAGGAAAATATTGAGACTTCATCTCACATATTTGAATTATCAGGAAAGATCAGTCCCCAAAGAAGGATGGCCCTTGATGAGATGGTTTGGCACAAAGCCTTCACCAATGGCCTCAAACATACATACGAAGGTGAACTCCCCCAAACGAATTTTTTTAAGGCTATGTATTTAATTTTTTTAAATAAAGCAACCTAATCACCTTCAAAGTACTACCCATTACACTTAATGCATTTGTCAAATCTGCAATTCTAGGAAGCATTTTTCAAATTCATCTGTTTGGATGGCTGACAGCATTTCCCTCATTTTTTCTTTACCTCTTCTACATCATCAAATTGTTGTCCTCTCATGTCCCTCTGCACTGCAGAAACAAAAGTTGCATGGAGTGAGGTCGGGTAGGTAAGGTGCATGGAGAAAGAGGGGCACGCTGTTTTTGCCAAAAACTAGCACACTAAGATGACTGCCTTAGCAGGTGCATTGTAGTGGTGGAAAAGCCCATCTGCCACAAATAAGGCATTTTTTGTCTGAAACTGTTAGGCTGTCTTTTCAGAACTTCTAAATAGAAAGCTTGATTAACAGTCTGACCTGGTGGAACAAACTTCAAATGCACTACGAGTTGACATTTTTGGCCATTCAGGAAATTGATGGACATCCAGAACGAGTTTGTCATCAATCAACATTTCACCTTTTTTAAAGCGAGAAAACCACTCGTACCCTTGAGTTTTTCCCTCACAAGTTTTAGAGCTCTCCTTGTAAGCTATGTTCAACATCACAACAGTTTCTGTGGCATTTTTCCCAAGAAGGAAACAAAATTTCACAGGTGTACACTGTTCTGTTAAATCGGCAATCACAAAAAAACGAGGTTCTAGTGAAACTGCTTTTATGAAAAGATTCACTGTGACCAGAGAGAACCTTCCCAGGTTACTCCACTGGGTGCACTAACTCAGAGTGAGTTGCGTGATGCTTGACTAGCAGGAAAAATGCATACTACAAATGCTCCATTCCATCCAGCAAAATTCTGGGTTTTTAATGGGTACCCCCTCATAAGAACAGTTATTCAGATGTCATAGGATTGGGCAGTGTTTTGTTCTGTCAAACATAGGGGTGTCAGGAGTCAGAACCAACTTGAAAGGCATCTTACCACAAGAGCACTTGCAACAATACTAAGGTGTTTTACTTTTTGTTTTCTTTTTTTTCTGCCCCCCCCCTTGTTTCCCATCACCCACTCCTCATCTTCACCATCCATGACTTTTTTTCTCTGTTTTACTTCAGTCAGGAGGCATCAACCCTACTCTGCCATACCCACCATATCTGCTGCTCCATTCCGGGTGAATGCCACTATCCAGTCCAGCACCACTGGACAGGAGACTGATGGTGACCAACCTCAAAGAGACGTCTTTTAGCTCTTCTTCATAGCCATGAGACAGAGAATTGCCCTCAACCCCCCACACCTATCATATACCTACATCCACCCAGTGACCCAGTGACGGGTGGTGAGCATCCCAGTGCTGCTGATTACCAGCATAGTAGCACACCCATCCTGTTACTCAGATATACAAAGGCAAGTAAAATATTGCTACTAGGGTTCCAATTCTTTAATGAATGGGTTATCTGAACAAAATGTATATTTGTTATCAAAGGATAGTTGCAGACAAAAAGCTCAGTATACATTTGTTTTTGTCTCCCTGGGGTGCCTTCACACACACACACACACACACAAACAAGGCTGCCACGGGTAACTGTTGAGTTGATTCAATTCAAGGCAGAGAGGTCAGCTCAGAAGGTTATGGTGATTGTATGCTAGGATTCAAAAGGAGTAATTAAATGGATTTTTTTAGAGGATACAGGATGTTCACAAGAGATATTAGGAAAAGATTTTTAAGGAAATTGAAAACTGAATCACTTAGAAAAGTACTCGGAACATTGTGCTGAGAAATGATTTTGCCATCGTGATAATGCACCTGATCATTCTGTGACAACAGCTAGGGTGGTCCTGTGAGAATATGGTTGCAGATTCTTACCTCATTCTGCACGACAGTCTTGATCTTGTCCCTTCTGACTTATTTTTCCTTCTCAAACTTGAAGAATGTTTTAAAGCAATACAACTTGAGTTCCTTGAGGATGCCAACATTGCATTTTAATATGGTGTAAATTGAAGAGTGCGGAATTCTTTGGGCAAGAATTTTCACTGCCATTGAGTCATTTCTGACTCATAGGACAAGTAGAACTTCTTCCAAGGTTTCCTAAGGCTGGAGTAGAAAGTCTCACTTTTCTTCTGCAGAGTAGCTGGTGGTTTCACACGCCCTACCTTGAGGTTAGCAGCCGAGCTCTGGTGGAACAGTGGTTATGTGTTGAGAAAGAATTAGAAAGACGGAAACATCATCTTACAAAGTCTATGAAGCTATATAAAGAAGATGTCAAGAAATAATAGCGTAACATTCTAATATTTTTATTTAATAAGAGTTTCTATGATTTTATATCATAAAGAAAAAGACAAAACTCTAGAAGAACAACACAAGAACCAATGAGCAAAATACATAGAAAATTAGAAACCATACAAATATAACAAATAGAAATTCTAAAGATTAATACTAAAATGCCTAAATCAGTAATGCGTTAGAAAGGCAAAGGAGTATAATTGAATCAAGGAAAGACAGATTTAGCAAAATTGAAGACAAACTTCTTAATATTAATCTATCAGAGCATAGGTTCCCAAATGTATTTGGTCTACTATCCCCTTTTCTGAAAAAGCACACCTTAGCACACCCTTAGCAACTTAAAGCTTTTGTACTGTAGCTCATAATCCAGGACGAAATGTTATCTGCTTTTGTAGCACCCCTGAATCATTCCAATGCCCACTTTGGGAACCACTGTATTAGAGAGACCATCAAAGCACACCAACTCCAAAATTAAGAAAGCCTAAGAGTTATGTGGGACCCCATCAATGGGAAGGACATGTGATTAGGACTCCAGAGCAAGAGTGGACATGAAAAGCACCAAGAAAATTACTGAAGATTTGTTTAAAGAAAACTTCCTTAATATCCTGACAGATGAAGAGATAAGCACTTAAGACATTCAAAATAACACAAATTGGATAAACCCCAAACAAAAAATCATGAAGACACATCACAATCAAACTTCCAAAATCAGAAATCAAGAAAGAATCCCCAAATCAGGTGAAAGACCATTGCAAACAGGGGGAAATAGCAAATGCAAAGGCCCTGATACAGAATTGCGCCTGCCATATTTGAGAAAAGTCAAGTAGGCCAGCCACTCTGGCTGGTGACTGATGAGTGTAAGAGGAGTAGGTGATGAGAGATATAATAGGGTCTCAAGTAGACAAAATCAAACCAAACCCACTGTTGTAGAGGACAGCTCTGACTCACAATGACACTCTAGGACAAAGAACTGGCCTCGAGGCTTTTCAAGGCTGTAAGTCTTTACAGAGGCTGATTGTCTCACCTTTCTCCTGTGGAGTGACTGGTGGGTGAAAACACAGATCCTTTGGTTAGCAGCCCAACACGTAACTCACAGCAACCCCGGAGCTTCTTTCAGGGTCAGAAGGAATACCAAAATACAAGATTGCACAGGTCATGGGAAATTCTTTGTCTTTTCATTTGGATGAAATGAAGTCACTGGAGCATTTTTACCAGGGCAGTGTAATTTTCTGACCTATATTTTAAAAGGAGCATGTGACGATGGTGCAAGACTGAGCAGTGTTTTCTTCAGTTGTACATATGGGTTTCTGGCACCTAACCACAACAATAACAATATGAGAGCTGAAAGAAGACGGGGCAGAGGTAGAAGCAGTCAGGCAAGTTCAGAGGTGATTGTGACAATGGAGGTGAGACCTGATGGTGGCTTGGAGTAGCAGTGGAGTTGGTGAGAAATATTTGGACTTAGGGCATGCTTCCAAGGCAGAGCAGACAGAATTTGTTGGTGGATTGGTTAATAGATGTGAAAGAAAGACTCAAGAACGACTCGGCAGTTTTTACTCTGAGAAACAAAAAGATGCAGTTCCATTTTTGAAGTGGGGGCCTTATCAAGGAAGACACTCGAAGTGCTAAATGTCAGAGGACACATGAAATTTGAAGTGCGTGTGGAAGAAGTGGTTGATGTCTAGTACGCTTGCTTGCCCAAATTCTAATATCATGACTTTCTGTCTTTACCCGAGGTCTTTTTGTTTTTTATTTACTTGTTCACTTTACAGCAGTCCTGTTGACTACCAAAATTGCCAGGGAATTGATGTCTACCAAGCCCAGCCTTTACCTAACAACTGATTGAAATTGTATAAAATCCCATTTCCCTGAACCTTTGACTAGAATACATCTGAAGCTTGTGTTTTCCACTGGTTCCTAGAATTTCCCAAGCAAAATTGAACTCCAGTTTCTCACCAGGGCAACTGGTTTGATAACTCTGCATTGACTTCCTCTCGTTCTTTACCTTATTTTCCCATCATCTTACTTTGCCACACCCTCCTAAAAATGAAATGCAAATAGCAACAACAGCACCTACTTATCCTTCGATCCTGTTTCAGAGTCTGCTTCTGGTGCAGCTGAACCTAAGACAGTATAATAGACACCCAAACGGCAGTTTGAAAGCAAATGAGCATTTAGTAGCATCAAGTTGATAGTAGCATCAAGACACAGGAATAATCCCAGGATTTATTAGCATATGGGGTCTAGAAGAATGAATAATCAATGAGTAAGTGTAGGTAGAAAATACAAGTCGACCAAACATTAGTTTGGACCCTTAGGCACACTGTCCAGACTGCACTAAAGGCATTGGCATAAACACGGCTCTAGGAATGATGTAAGACCAGTTGAAATGTTTCAATAAACTGATAAAGCACTGGATGCCTTCACTGATCTAGACCAGAAAATGTGGAAGATAGGTTCTTGGCCAACTGAATGGAAGAGATCAATATTTGTTTCCACTCCAAAGAAAGGTGATCCAACAGGATGCTCAAATTATAGAAAAATATTATATCACATGCAAGTAAAATTTTGGTGAAGATCATCCAATAAGGGTTGCAGTCTATCGACAGGAAGTTGCCAGGGGTTCAGGCTGGATTCAGAAAAGGATGTGGAACAAGAGATATCATTGCTGACATCAGATGGATCTTGGCTTTAAACAGAGAATACCAGAAGATATTTACTTGTGTTTTATTGACTCTGTCAAGGCATTTGACTGTGTGGATTACAACAAACTATGACTATCCTTTAGAAGAATTGGAATTTCACTCATGCAGAACCTGACCGTGGTTCAAGAGGCAGTAGTGCTTTAAAATCAGAGCGGTGTAGGTCAGGATTGGTTCCTCCCACCAAGCGTATTCAAGCTTCCCTGAGCAAATCAGCAGGGAAGCTGGATGATATGAAGAATGTGGCATCAGGATTGGATGAAGGCGTATCAACCACCTGCAATATGCAATATACAATCTTACTTGCTGAAAGTTAGGAGGTTTTGAAGCATTTGCTGATGAAGATCAAGGAGCAGCTGTCATGAAAGTGGGGAGAAAGTCGAAAAATAAAGGAAGTATTTCAAGCAATGACTCCTGGACTCTCTTGTAGATCTAAAGAATCAGGTCTTTGTTAGGTCACACTGAAAATCTGCATTTCTGAATGTTTCTCAGACATTTCTTGAATTACCTTTGAAAGCCATTGACCCTTTAAAATGTCCACCTTCCACTTTTACTTGGGGATGGGTATTGGGGTTGGTAGTATAGGTAGCATGGCATAAGAAAGCTGTTATTTTTTACAAATAAGAAGTAAAAACACAAACAAAAGCTACCATAAGTGATTTCCAATAATTCTCCTTACTACCTAAACAATTCAAGTCCTTGTTGCATATACACTTTTGAATTAATTAAATATTCACTTTGTTTTCTTTTCAGGAGTTAACGCTTGCATGACTTGATATTGTAACTTGCTGTAAATTTCCAATCTCAAGGTAAATCGATAACCCAAACATAGATTATAGGGAATTTGATGGTTTCTAAAATGTAAATTAGATCAGATAGCAAGCTTAGATACTTTTGTTCTAACTAGGACTCTATATGGAGACCTTTTTGTTTATTTTATACCTTTGCTTATAAATATAAGTGAGGTCTATTCAAAAGAGTTATCTCAGGAAATACAGGCTACATTTTCAAAAACTCCTTAGGAAATGCCTTCAGAATCCATGGAAACTACATTTGCCTGGCACATGTTCATCCTGAATTGTCTTAAATTCAAAATGAATTCTACTAACACATTTAACACAATTGTATGATTCTCATTAACGACTACAGAGTAATCCTAAGAATGCTCACAAGACAATGTTATGATTACAGTTTCAACCAGACTATTTCATGGGAGAAAACTCTCAAAAGGTGTTTCTTCAGGAGAGGAGGAACAGCTGTAGCGATTCACAAGCAGGATCAAAACTGTTTCCATTCATGTTTGTATCCTTAGCTTCTTGTCTTAGAGATGACTCCATTGTATAGCAAATAAATAGAATTGCCTCCTAGGGATTCTGAGGCAGTGATTTTTAGGTTAACAGATGTTAACAGCTGCCAGGTCTTGCCAGGTGGCTGGTGGGTTTCAAACCGGTTCGCTCTGGTTTTATCCCCTGCTGAGAATTTGCCTTTGTACCCCAGATATACTGAAAAAGAATACAGTTTCACCAGATCCTCAGGTGGGTTGGAGGTATCCATAATCTGGGGTGGAAAAGCAAATTCTCAGCAGGGGCTGTCACACCAGTTTGGAAGCCCTGCAAACAAAAACAGCATCACTTCCCCTGTAGGTGGGTTTCATCAAACACCCTACCAGCCACTGTGTACAAAACTTCATAGAAGCACCATGGTGCCAAATGAGCATCCTCCCCACCCACTCTCTGCCTCACCTCGCTTCCTATGCTTCCTGTGGCTCCCAGGTCTAATTCAATAGACGTTCACAGAAACACTCGCTGTTAAAAACTTGAGGTAAATTTATATTCTCACTATGTTCGGGGTTGGCCCAAAACATACACGAATGATTTAAAGGAGTCTATTAATGCCAAAACGAATCTAAAATTCCCTGAAGTAGCTGCTTTTTTTTTTGTAACTGGCATTTTATTGGTTGTTTTGAGATCAGTACAGAGACCTTATGAACAATTTGTACACAATCCTTAATGCATGTACCAAAATCCTAAAATGGCATTTAGATAAAATTCGTTTCTAAATTCCAGTGACTTTCCAGCTTTAAATTTAGGGTCACATTTTAAAAAAGAGATTACTAAGTACCATTATCTTCAAATGCTGGTAAACTTACATCTTAAGTCCCACTAATTCACAATTCAATGTCACACACACTACACACTCAAATGTTCAATCCTTCACAGCACGTAACAAAGTGACCGGGAATGCGGGACTACCACGACCACAGGTGTTACAGAATGCACAGTTCTGACGAGAGCCGTGATGGCAGAATGGTTTTCAGACCCAGTTCTTTTAAGAGAACAAATGGGGAAACAAAATTTTAAAAGTTCAAGTCATACAAATGCATGACAGTGACTCCAAATTTCCATTAAGTATGTTTTGTATAAGGGATACAAAAACATCCCCCATCCCATGGAATGTTATGTTGACACCCAAGACAGTCAAATCTTCCCACAATTCAACATCCCACTATTTTCTGGTTGTACTAAAAAATAAACAACCAGTAAATTATTTCACATCTTTAAAAAAAGCATTTACACTAAAAAAACAAAAATGAGATGAATTGAGATTTGCTTCTTCTTAAAAATGTTTCTAGAGCTAAAAAAACTTGCATTTACAAAATAGTTGATAAAAATATTCCTCTAGATTGTACAAGAAGGGAGATAACGGGACCCACTAATAAGACATGATAAACATTCATCGGACTTGGCTTCTTTTTCTCCGGCTTCATCGGAGGCTGGGCTCTCCTCGTGCTTCATGCCTCCATTTTCAGCAGGTGAATCTTCTCTAGCTTCTTGCTCGGCTCCTTCCGCCTGGTTTCCCTTTGCCCCTCTTTTCCCTTTTGCTTGCACTTTTTTGTCCGAAGATTTATCCTTTCCTGGTGCCTCTTTTGGCTTCGTCTCCACTTTTGCAGGCGAGGGTTTCCCTGACAATCTGGACGATCTCCTCTTCGGCTCCTCCTTCACCACCCCTTTGGCCGAGCTGACCTGCCTCTTGGGCATCTTGGCTGTGGGGAGGGCGCTTGCAGGACGCCTTCGGACCGCGGGCCACCGAGAGCCTTCTCGAAGCTGGATCGCCAGGCGCTGCCGCTCTGCCCGCCGCTGCCGTGTCTTTTGAGTGCTATTTTATTTTCAGTAACAATTTTCCCCCTGTCGGAAAACCCACCAGTTCTTCTTGTCGTCGCACCTGTGTTCTTCAGTACAGAGCTAAGCACTGTTTGGGCGTTCTTAGGAGATGGCATAGAATCCATATAGCTGGTAGCGACCTCGTGAAGATTAGAACAGGGTTGGGTGTTTTGGGTCTTTGCTGAAATCCTCATGGAGGAGCCCCTGCGTGGGGGATTTGAATCACCAACCTTTCAGTTAGCGCAGACCCATTTGCGCCACCAGGACCCCCAAGCTTATATGAGTTTATCATACCAAGTCCACCTTCTTGCAGGTCCTCAATTTCCCACAACAAAGTTGGCAGCAATACACTAAGAGTGAGCTTCCAGAAGTTCAATTTAGATTCAGAAGAGGACTTGGAAAAGGGACATCATTGCTGATGTCAAAAGGGTCTTGGGTCTAAAATCAGAGCATACAAGAAAGATGTTTACTTGTGTTTTATTGTCTGTGCAAATGTATTTGGCCCTGTGGATCATAACACACTATGGGTAACCTTGAAAAGAATGAGTATTCTAGAATACCTAATTGTGTTCATGGATCAAGAGGCAGGTGTGTGAACAGAAAAGGGCATGCTGCATGGTTCACAATCAGGAAAGGTGCGTGTCAAGGTTGTCTCCTTTTATCATACTTAATCAATCTGTGTGCTAAGCAAATCATCAGAGAAGTTGGATTATACGAAGAAGGATGCAGTGTCAGGACTGGCAGAGTGTTTATTAACAACCTTCAATATGCAGATGACACAACCTCCCTCGTGAGAGGCACTGGAAGCACTTCCTGATAAAGATCAAGGATTGCAGCCTTTGGTATGGATTCCAACTCCATGTAGGGAAAACCCAAATCTGCACAACTGGACCAATGAGTAACATCATGATAATGAAGAAAAGGTGGAAGTGGTCAAGGATTTCACCTTGCTTGCATCTACAAGCAATGCTCACAGAAGCAGCAATCAAGAGATCAAGCAACAAGGGACAGGACCTCTTTAAAGTGTTGAAGAGCAAGGATGTTACTTTGAGGAATAAGGCATGCCTGAAGGAAGACCAAAGAAGAATTGAAGCATTTTAATTATGGTGCAATCTCTGATGGCAAGACTTTGACTTTACATACTTTGAACATAGTCAGGAGAGACCAGGTCCTAGAGAAAGACATCATACTTGGTACAGTGGAGGGGCAGCAAAAAGAGGAAGGCTCTCCGTAAGAGGGATTGACACAGTGGCTGCAACAGTGGGCTCAAACATGAGAACAATTGTGAGGATGGAGCAGGACCAGGAGGTGTTGTGTTCTGTTGTGCACAGAGCCTCTAGGATGCAGAACTGACTAGATGGCTACTAACAAAAACAATATAATAACATGAGGTTACTTATAGTATTGATTGTGACTGGCATATGTCAATGGTAAGAGTATGAGAGTGAGATTACTCTATTTCTTGTCTATCGATTTTCAGGCCCATTTCTGGTTGTAGTTGTTAGGTGTGATGGAGTCAGCACTGACCCATAGCAACCTTACACACAACAAAGCAAATCGCTGCATGTTCCTGTGCCATCCTCACAATTATTCCTATGCCTGAGTCCATTGATGTAGCCACTGTTCAAGCCGCCTTGTTGAAGGTCTTCTTCTCCTCACTGCCCCTCCACTTCACCAAGCATGGTGTCCTTCTCCAGAAACTGGTCTCTTCTGACAATATGTTCAAAATATGTAAGGCAAAGTTTTGCCATCAGAGGCAGTGCCAGAGGATGGACCCTTTGGGTCTGAGGCACTTGAATTGTGACTGAGATGGAGTTGATTTCTCAGAGTGCCCTTGACCAGGGTGCAGGGAGCATGACTCAAAGTAAAGAGAAACAGCTACAAAAGTCTGCTAATGATGGCAACTTGGAATGTGCAACATATGATTCTAGGAAAATTGGAAGTGGTCAAAAGTGAAACGGAACACATAAAGATTGATATCCTAAGTATTAGTGAGTTCTAATGGACTGGTAGTGGCCACTTTGATTCAGTAAATAATGAGATTTATTATGCCAGGCATAACACAATCAAGAGGAATGGTGTGGCATGAAGTACAATGCTGTCTGTGATAGGATTATGTGTATCTGCCTTCAAGGAAATCCATTTATAGGACTTCACAGATTTCCTTAAATTATTTTGAAACCATTCCTGAGATTCTTGAGTGTCAACCACACAAGCCACATCTTTTTTAATGCTTCAATTGTAAACATATAGACATCTGCCAATTTGACATTTTTCTCATGCACATTTCCACGAGACCAATTATATAAATCATCTTGTACAATCATTACCAATACCTATTGCTAAAATGTTCTAGCACAAAAAAACAAAAACTCTTAACACTGATTTACAACACAATCTGAAACAATGTCCTGAATAATTATTTGTCTTTCCTCTCCTTCCTTCTGCCCCTTATATCTTCCTTAATTTATTAATAATCTGCTAAAAGTTCAGGGAGAGAATTCATTTTTAGATGTCAGACATTCTTTCCACATCCAGAGAATTCTGCTGTAATTGACTGAAACCATTTCAATGGAATTCGTGCCAGCTATATTTTACTTTATAGCTTAGATGTAAGCAGTTATGGACAATATTTATCATAAGGAAAAGAGAACTGCCCGAAATCAAAATGAAATGTGATGGATATGGCAGCTAGAGTTTATGTCCGCTTGAACCTGTGTGAAAGTGTAGGGGTGGAGTCTAACCTATCCAGCAGATCCCAGCGTGAGGATGCGTGGCCTTTTCATAACATAGATAGTGAGAAATTCTTTTGCCTCTGGTCCTTTGCCTTCCTCCTTGCTGAGACTCTATGTCGGCTTCCAGAAGCTGTCCCTTATGGCCTGCTAATCCAAGGAACCAATCTCCAAGCTGATGGCTCCCTGCCAAGCCCCCACCAAGCTTGGATATGCCTGACTCTGCACCTACCAGCCTGTGATCTCCCTGTATCCTGCTGTCCCTGTCTGTGTCCTTGGCCTCTGGCTACATGGGTCTGAAGAGGGTTCCAGCTTGGACTGCACTGTATATATAGAATTACTGCTTGATATAAACTGCTTTCTTATACTTGCATGAGAATGTCACTGGTTGTGTTTCTCTAGATAAGCCTAATGTGATGATCAAGTTTTTAAATGATTTTTTGTTCTTTGATGTCTGATACCTAATCCCTTCAACACCTCATGATCACACAGGCTGGTGTGCTTCTTCCATGTGGGCTTTGTTGCTTCTGAGCTAGATGGCCGCTTGTTTACCTTCAAGTCTTTAAGATCCCAGACACTATGTCGTTTGATAGCCAGGCTCCATCAGCTTTCTTCACCACATTTGCTTATGCACGCTCTTTTTCTTCAGCGATTGTGTAGGGAAGATGAGCATCATGGAATGCCAGTTTAATAGAAAAAGTATTCTTGCATTGAGGGAGTACTTGAGTGGAAGCCCAATGTCCATCTGCTACCTTAATACTAAACCTATAAATATATGCACATAGAGCTATTTCCCCATCCTCATATATAAATATATTTACATATGTACATGCCTGTATTTAGACCTCTATAAATGCCCTTTGCCTCCTAACTTTTTCCTCTATTTCCTTTAGTTTCCTCAGCCTTCATTTGGGTTTCAGTAATTCCTCTTGGTTACATTATCCTTGATCCCGCCCTACCAGGCCTCCCACACCCAACCAATTTGGATCACTTGTTGTTCCCTTGTTCCTGGGTTTGTTAACACCACTTTTTTCCCCCACCGCCCCCTCTCCCATGTCCCCCAGGAGCCATTGATCCCATTGTTTTCTCCTCCAGATTGTTCATCCAGCCTATCTTATTTCATACCATTGTGTGCTCACCTCCCCTATACAATCGCTGAAAACAAATGGGTGCATAAGCAAAAGTGATGAAGAAAGCTGATGGTGCCCAGCTATCAAAAGATATAGCATCCAGGGTCTTAAAGGCTTGAAGGTAAACAAGAAGCCATCTAGCTGAGAAGCAACAAAGTCCACAGGGAAGAAGCACACCAGCCTGTGTGATTATTGAGGTGTCGAAGGGATCAGTATCAGGCATCAAAGAACAAAAAATCAAATTGTGGGGAGAAGGAGAGGGTGTCCCCCACAAATCATCACAGATCCGGTAGGCGCAATTGTACAGCGATAATAAGTAAAGATTATAGTAAAGTTATAGAGAGCATGAAAGAGGAGAGATTGGAATAAATGGAGTCAGACACAATTCGTGGTAGCATGCTCACCTCAGCCCCGCTTGGTGGTCCTCGTGGGGGAAGCCCGTCCATGAGAGCAGGAGATAGCCTGGGGGACCGAGAACTGGGGAGAGCTCCTGGGCCCCCAGGAGCTGGTGAGAGCTTTTCTTTATTGCTAACCAAGACCAAGCATTATATCTCTTTAGGGAGACATGATTACAGGTAACCATACATCACAGGAAGAGGCAGTACAATAGGCATACACAGTGTAGGAAGGGGATCTATGATAGGCATAACCATAACAGGAAGGGGATGAGCTAGGGGTGTGCCCATAGCAATGGGAAGGTCTAGGGGTATACATGTGACAAGATGGGCAGACCCTAGATTCATGATGGCAGCCTAACCTTGGGGTGGGTTTGACCTCTCTGGTGTCTCCTACAAGGAAACAGACAACTACTATCCTTATCCGAAGGGAGTGGGCCCTACTTGTGGGATAAACAGTGGTGTCTGCTTGGTCTAGATGGTTGATAGCTCTTAGGGAGAATGACCCCTAATCTATTCTTGATGACCTCCAAGTGCATAGTCTTTCGCAAGCAGCTAAGTCTGGCATATATTTGGGGGA